GGGACCCTTCCTCGTGTGTGTGTGTGTGTGTGTGTGTGTGTGTGTGTGTGTGAAATATATGGTATCTAAATATCTAAATAAACTAAAAAACATTTGAAAGAAGTCAGGAAGACTGTTTCCCAAAGTGTGTTCAGAGGAACCCTGGTCATGACAGTTATCAAGAAAGTCAAGTGTCCACAGCCAAACAAGGCTTCAAAGGCCAAACTTCCAGACGTGTTTAGGAAGCACTGCACATTTCCTGCTCTTTTGGAGAGCAAAAGTGATCATAGTATACTAAAGACTCTGAAAGGTCCAATGATAAAGGACATATTTAACTTTATTTTGTCTGGATTCTCAAATGAACCAATACCAACCCAGAAACTCCATACTAAGACATTTGTGGTGCTTGAATTGATCTATCAGAGAAAACTTCTGATTCTCATCTGGAAGCTTATCTTAGAAATCCAATGTAGAGAACTCAGATGCTTTCATTAGTTTAGGTTTAGAAATGAAAATGTAAGAATTGCATCCTTATGACAAATGGAAAATGAATCGGATTGGCTTGACTTGCCCAGTGAGTTTTAATTTTTAGAATCTTCTGTATAAACTAGTAATTACGATGATGCAGCCATCAAATAGTATGTAATTATACCCATGAAATAATGGATAATGAGCACTTTTTTTAAGTAGAAAAAAAAGTCCTAAAGTAATTATTGGATGATGAAAATGAATTAATTCAATTCAGTACTTAAAAAATGAAAATAACTGTGATCCCTGAAGCACCATCTATGTATGTATGGGTTCTTTTATGTGGAAAATTACAACAGAAAAATGATGAAATATTAAGAAAAAATGGTGCCCACTGCCTTTTCTGGTGTAGACTCAGTCTTACAGCTCAAGATGGTAAATTTCGAGAGAGCCTGGTAAGCAGATGTTTTATAGCTAATGAAAGATGAGATCAGGATTCAGGCCAAGTCCTCTTGTCTCTGGGGCCCACACACTTAACCTCTAACTAGAGCAGCCGCCAGTAAAAAACACAAATTTGGTAGCAATATTTCTCCTTCCCCTCCTCCTCACTGCCCTAACCACCCAACAAAAGTAAATTTTGTGTTGTAAAATTCTAGAGTGCCATCTTAAATACTCTAACACTGGAGAACATTTTGCTAAACTATACTTTGTGTTCTGGAATATCGCACATTCGCGTTGTAGAAGTGCTCAGTTTTCACTGCATTTTTTCAATTGCTTCGATCTTTTAGGCCCCCATCTGTGTATTAAAAAATGTCCACAACAGCAGTTGGTGTTATTTGCCAAGAAGATAGCTGCTACTTGTGACCATGCACATAATCCAGTTGATTCTGTGGAGATGGGCTGCACAGAACCATAAACTGATCGTAAAATAGTTTATCTGATGGATGTTAACAGATACATGCTCAGATTTTCATAATGGTCATGTAACGTAGAACTGTAAAGATTTCATAACTTGCTTTTTTCATATGAGAGATATTATATTTGAGAATATACATCAAAGAGTCAAATAAATAAAAGTATAACACCTTCCCTAATACAGATACGTGATACAAAGGACCTAAAATTTCATTTCCTATTAATGTCACTGAAGTATTGCTGTCTGAGTGTAGGGTGGGCCTCAGTGTAATTACTGAATCTTTTCATAAAATTAATCTAGGAAATTAATCAAGTACCTTGGTCTAGGATAAAATAATCATAAAATAAATTTCTTAATTTTATTTATGCTTTAAAGGTATTTCTCGGGTTCACGACCCACCTGGGCAACTTGGCGAGACCTCATGTCTACAGTAAATCCAAAAATTAGCCGGGCATGGTAGCTCACGCCTGTAGTTCCAGCTACTTGGAAGGCTGAGGCGGAAGGATCACCGGAGCTCAGCAGGTCCAGGTTGTGGTGGCCGGGAGTGGCCACTGCACTCCAGTCTGGGCGACAGAGTGAGACTCCGACTCAAAAAAAAAAAAAAAAAAAAGATATTTCTAACAGGAACTGCATTGTTTAGAAATAAAGAAGGGGAAAATTATTTTTTGTAGCCATGCGTTGTCATGGTGAAAGAACCAGTCACCAAACACTAAGACTTTGGAACAGACTTCTTTATTTTTATTTTATTTTTTTGAGTTTAGGTCTCAGTCTGTCACCCAGGCTGGAGTACAGTGGCACAGTCCAGGCTCACTGCGGCCTCAGCCTCATGGACTCAAGCAATCCTTCCTCCTCGGCCTCCAGAGTAGCTTTGACTGCAGGCACACACCATCACATCCAGCTAATTTTTGTATTTTTTGTACAGACAAGGTCTCGCTGTGTTGCTCAGGCTGGTCTGGAACTCCTGAGCTCAAGGTGTCCTTCCACCTCAGCCTTCCAAAGTGCTGGGAATCCAGGTGTGAGCCACCGCACCCAGTCTGGTGCAGACACTGAATGTCTGGTAAGCAAGACTGGTTGTTGGGTGGAGAGTCCATTTAGGTTTTACTGTGGTTTTTTTTTTTTCCCCTTCCTGATAATAACTTAGGCACTGCTGAAACAGGGTTCCCACGTGGTCACGAGAAGTGCGCTGACACTTGGACTTTGTCACATCTTCCAGGATGATGCGTGTGTACTCATGCCAAGTTATTGCCCATATAATGTGCTGGGCAGAGTAACAGAGTACCTTTTCCTCAAGTAGTCCCCACGTGGGCTGGCTGTATAAACGGACCATGTGAAGGAGACCTCAGAGTTGAGCTTTCATATCTTTTCTCTCCAAGGCTGTCTTTTTCCTTATCCTTGTGTCTGGAGCCAGCTTCTGCCAGGCCCTGTTCTCTCCAGCAAGAGGGCCAAGGCAGTGAATATTTTATACAGTAGCTGCTACCATTCAGAGCAGTGAGGTGATATGGAGGACCTCATCAGCCTCCTTGCGGATACGCAGAGCAGATCTCTGTCGGTTAACTATGAAGAGTACCCCAAAAAAACTGGAATTATTTTTGGCAGGCTGGCCTCTTTTAGTACAGGCTTCCCCCACTAGGTAAGTGTTCTAGGAACCCAGCGGCATCTGTATATCAGCTAGGGTTGTTGTGAGAGGCTGCGTTCGGCTTCGGTGAATCTTTCCTGGGATACTTTCAAGGTGTTTGCCTATTTCATGATAAGTGATTGACAAGCATACCTGTTCACACCTCACTGAGTGTTTAGCAGGGTGTGTGTGTGTGTGTGTGTGTGTGTGTGTGTGTGTGTGTGTGTGTGTGTTTTACCAAAAATGACATGACCCCCATGTCCCACTCTCCCTATTCACCTGATCTCGCCCTGAGCAACATTTTTTTGTCTCACCGGATGAAAAAAATCCTCAAAGGGAATCATTTTGCTGATGTGGAAGAGGGGAAGCAAAAAAATGGCAGAAGCTGGGCTTGGGGGCTCAGCCTGTAATCCCGCGCCTTTGGGAGGTTGAGGTGAGTGGATTGCCTGAGCCCGCGGGTTCGAGACCCACCTGGGCAGCAAGACCTCGTCTCTACAATAAATAAAAAAATCAGCCGGGTGTGGTAGCGTATGCCTGTAATTCCGGCTGCTCGGAAGGCTGAGACGGAAGGATCGCCGGAGCCCAGCAGGTCGAGGCTGTGGTGGCCGGGAGCGGCCACTGCACTCCAGTCTGGGCGACAGAGTGAGACTCCGACTCAAAAAAAAAAAAAAAAAAAAAATGGCAGAAGTTTCACTAAAAGGCATCAAACGGAGAGCACTTTGAAGGTGACTGAAGTTTAAACACATAAGAATAAATACACAATTTTTAATAATATATTATAATATGAACAAATACACAATTTTAATAATATATTATATGAGCAAATACACAATTTTTAATAATATGTTATAATATGAATAAATACACAATTTTAATAATATATTATAATATGAATAAATACACAATTTTTAATAATATAATATTTTTTTATAGTCTGGATTTTTTGAGTTCCCCCTCAAATAAGATTATCTGAGCCTTTGTACATAGTAAGAGTTAAAAGAATTTAACTGGTCAGACCACTGGATAAGTGGCTCTATAAGCATCTTAAATCAAAAAGAGAGATCTGAGAAGACGCTTCCTCTGGTAGAGGGTGATTTACCCTTTCTTTTTCAAGGTAGGAGTTTAGTCGGGTGAGGAATTTGTATCTGAAAGAGCAGAACTGAAAGGTATTACCCAAAACATCCATAGCGAATGCTGGCAGTAAGCCTAGGGCCTGACTAGATGAAGTCATATATGGAAGATGCTCATAGCAGCTCCTTTGGGGCTCTTCATAGTAGATTTTAAAAAGAGGCAAGAGAAATAAACTGGAAATATATATGGGTAGAGGGAATTGGGGACAAAGCTTATGCCAAGAGTTATCTTATGTATCTAATAAAGGCCCAAACAGAATGATTCTCAAAGAGGACACAAACACACACACACATCATTCTTTTAAACACCTGTCTGATCTGCATGTTGTGCACAGCTTTTTCCACTGAGAATGGCACTGACCATCTGCTTTGTTAAAGAAAACAGCAGGCATGGTGGCTCATGCCTGTAATCCCGGCACTCTGAGAGGCTGAGCTGGGAGGATCACCTGAGCCCAGAAGGTCGAAGCTACGGTGAGGGTGGATGGGGTTGGTGCCACCGCGCTCCAGCCAATGCCACATGAGGGAGACCCCAGCTCACACCCCAAAAAAAAAGAAAGAAAGAAAGAAAGAAAAAGATCAGGCACCACCTCCCACGTCCTGTGCCGGACACCCTGAGTCCTGGAACATCTTCTTGTTCCTTCCAATGTTTCTTGGGCGCCTGGGGGACAGAGGCCCCCCCGTGTCCTGGGCTCGTGCCCCACCTCACTGTTCACGGACTGCACCGGGGCCAGCCCTGGCACTCCTGGCACTGGGCTCGGTCTCATCCGGGCTGTGGGCTGCCCTTTGCCCTGGCTCCCCTTGGCTAGAGGCGACTGGGTTGCAACTCGCTCTCAGGCGCCAAGGTGCAGCAGCCCTGCCACGCTGCAGCGTGTGTTTATCTTGTAACCCACAGACAAGAAGAAGGGAGGCAAGTTCCAGCCTTTTAAGAAGTTGTTTGGCAAGAGGAAAAAGAAAGATCCTTCCTTGTCCCGGGAGGAGTCGGCGGGGAAGAAGAGTCACTCGCACCAGAGTGTCAGCAATGGGACCTTCTCCTCGGATGAGGAGACCCTGGAAGACGGTCTGAGGTAAGAACTTGAGCTTGCTTTTTGGGCCCCGGGTGGAGTCCCAGGGTGGAGAAACGGGGCCCAACGGAAGGAGGGGCTGGTTTGGGCTCCATTCACCAGGAGCGGGCTCACAGGTGTGTTGCATCTCTGGGAGAGCATTCTGTGTGGAGAGGTCACCTGGGGGGTCAGTACATGAGGCTGACCTCATCTTCTGGGGTTGCACAGGGATTGGGCGTGCATTTCTCTGCCCTCGCTTGTAGTAGGAGGCAGTACCTCACTGCCTGGACTGACCAGGGCTCCTCAGATTGATGAAGACCGTGTTCCCATGGGCCACTGCTTCCTAAAGAGAAAGGGTAGCATGGAGCCCAGGGGGACACCCCACGTACCCTGGGCCAGGTCTGGCAACTTCTGGGGCTTGTGATGGAGCTTTACACTCTGCCCTCCCTCCTTCCTTCCTTTTTCCCTCCTTCCCCCCGTGCCTCTCTCTCTCACTCTTTCTCTCTCTCCTTCCCCTTCTTTTTCTCTCTCCACTTCTTTCTCTGTCTCTCTCTTTCCCTACCCTCCCTCCCTTCCTTTCTCCTTTCTCACTCCTTTCCTTGTTTATCATCTGACTCTCCCACTCAACTGTAAGCTCTAGAAGGGCAGGGGTTTTTGTCTTTTGTGTTCCCTAATGTATACCATCACCTAAATCAGCGCTTGGCACACAGTAGACTTTCTTTGCCTCCTTCTGAGAACACAGGCACTGACTCTCACTGTGACAGTGTCGGGAACGCAGAAAAGCAGAGGTACTCTCTCACCTGAGTGCTGGGAATTGAAGTCAGAGTCAGAGATAGTTAAACTCTGATACTGACAGCCCAGGGATCCACTTCCCTGAAAAGCCTTTGCCAACAACCCGATTTATTTGCTCTTGCTGTGTTCCCCTAGCGTCGTGTGCCTTGTTCCAGCAAAAAGCTTGTCACTTTCTGCAGAAATTATTGAATGGCTTGGTCTGTCTTTCTCACCCGACTGCCAGTTCCATGAAGTCAGGGACCAGACTTCCTATTAGATGCTCAAGAAAACATTTCCTGTGAATGCCTGGCACTGCATCAATTAAGTCGAAGGAATCGGTGGTATAATAGATGATATTCTTAGTGTGTTTCAAGGACAAAGACAAAAACATCCTCTGTGGTGTGTGTCAGTAAGTAAATTCTAATAGACACACGACTGTTGTGCCCACATTACAAAATCCCCCAGTATACTGTACACAGTAAACGCCACTGTATTCAGATTCAGCATTTGTTAGTCCTAATACCTCTTCTTTCCCTCGACAGGACTGTATCTATTTTCTTACCTTTTAGAGTAAGAAAATGTTTACATTTAACTGAAGGGAAGGATTTCAGTGAAAAGAGAATACAACTAGCACTGACTAACCCAACTGTTGAAGTGTCAGTGCTGATAGACAGTTGAGTATGATGTTGTATCAATTCATTTTTATTTCTTTTCCATTTCTTCAGTTGTAAAATAGGAATGTGAACTTTTTTGCCACACAGTATGAGAATGAAGGACAGATACTCACATGTGACCAAGCAGCAGTTTAATACTAATAAGGACAAGTCTGGGAAGTTCTCTTGTGGAAGGACAGTCCTATGAAAACCCAACCCATCCTTTTGATAGTAGGTTTTGTCAAGTGTCATTTTTCACTGAGTCGTGTTGGACTCTTAGAGGGGCCTGGACCTTGGTGACTCTCTTCTCATTTAAGTCCTAGATTTTATTTACCTCTTGGAGGTTTTCTTTAAGATCCTGAGCCTTGGAAAATCCCACTTTGGATCAAACAGCTACATTTCTAATAATGTCACCTGTGCTCACTATTGGCTTGTGTTTATAAACTGTACTTAGAAGGCGGGCACTATATTTTAATTAAGCACTTGTTTTTAAATAATAAACTCATCTCACAAGTAAGGAAGCTGAAAGGATATAGGCCATGAACTTTTAAAATGTCTCTTTAAATGTTTAAAAAATTTAGAAACACAGAGCCAGGCGTAGTGGCACATGCCTATAGTCTTAGCCACTCAGGAGGCTACGGTGGGAGGATCACTTGAGCCCAGAAATTCAAGGCTGTAGTGAGCTATGATGTGTCTGTAGTAGACACTGCACTCCAGGCTGGGCAACATAGCAGAAATAAAAAATAAAAAGCAGAAATACAGGAAAAATAGAAGTGGTTTAAAATTTTAAAATATGTATTCCCCTTTTCTAAGGAACTCACGATTGCAAAATAATCTCATTGACAGAGTAGATATTACATGCATTGCTAACAGTATAGCTGAACTTCTGGTTATTCACACTGTTTACAGATGGAGAAAATGAACAATGTTTTTTCTAGCTATTGTTATTGTTATTTTCAGTTCACTGCTCAGTTAACTGATATAACATAATACTTTACATTATGTAATGATTCCAAAAAGATGTCCTGTACACTTTATTTGCTATCTCCAAAATGGACAATTCCCACCAAAATGCAAAACCTCAAATTCCATTAATGTGATCTTGGTTAGCAGTTTCAAGGAGACAGATTTCAGCCCAATGTGAGGAAGAGTTTTTCTAACAGACTAGAACAGCCTGAAAATGGGAGGTTGGGCGTGTGCCCGTGGGGGTTAGGACCAGTGAAGGTGGGATTTCTGCACTGGGTAAAAATTTAAAGGTGCTAACCTTTAACATGCTGTCAGTCTTCAATAATCTGTAATTCTAGAAATGTCTTCATGGCCAAGAATAGCTCCTTATTGATCTATTCCTTCTGTCTGAAATTTTCTGTTTCCTTTGGGCTTTTAAAGCATTCTGTTCTTTCTTTAGGTTAGAAACCTTTATCTCTCCTAAGCTGATGCTTTTGAATTATACATTCCTCGGGAAAAGCAAAGCAATGAAACATGATCAGCTTTTAACAATTTAATTTGACTTCCTTGCTTAATTAAATGCAACTAATATTATGTTTCCAAAAGTGTGTTAAAGAAATGCTACATTTAAAAAGGGGGGGGGTCATTTTAGTAAGTAGGTTGAGGAAATTCTGGATGAAAAACATATTAAATAGAATTCATTATTTGTTTGTTTTTGAGTCGGAGTCTTGCTCTGTTGCCCAGGCTGGAGTGGAGTGGCATGATCACGGCCACTGCAGCCTCAACCAGCTGGACTCAGGCAATCCTTCTGCCCCAGCCCTCCAAATAGCTGGGACTACAGGCCATGCCAACATGCCTGGGGAATTTTTTTATTTATTGTAGAGACAGGGTCTCAAGTTGTCCAGGCTAGTCTCAAACTTCTGGGACAGGCAGTCCTCTTGCCTCTGCCTCCCAAAGTGCTGAGATTGCAGGTGTGAGCCACCACACCCAGTAAAACAATTTTTTATGTGGGACTTGACAGAGTGTTTACTGTGCTAATGTGCCCTGTATATCCCTAAGAAGGGGGCTATGGTATGGAGCATTTTAAGATTCCTTTAACCACACACTCTTTTTTCACCGAGAATAGCCAGTGGCTTGTATTAAAGATGCCATGAATTGAAATTCATATGATGTGTTTTGCATAGGTGAACTCATGTAATATCTACCATAACTCTTCAAAATAGACATTACATTACAGTGACGTGCTATTACATTGTCATGCTACTGATAAATCCCTGAGCCACTATTCAAGCAGTAAGGAGTGCATTCTTGGCCTGACATGGTGGCTCACACCTGTAATCCCAGCACTTAGGGAGGCAGAAACAAGAGGATTGCCTGAGCCTAAGGGTTCAAGACCGGCTTGGACAACTTGGCAAGACCTCGTCTCTACAGTAAGTCAAAAAATTAGCCAGGCATGGTGATAATGTGCCTGTAGTCCCAGGTACTTGGAAAGCTGAGGTGGAAGAATTGCCTGAGCCCAGCAGGTAGAGGCTGCAGTAGCTGTAAGCATGCCACTACACTCCAGCTTGGATAACAGAGACTCCAACTCAAAAAAAAAAGGGAAAAAAGAGTGCATTCTTTTTTTTTTTTTGAGTTGGAGTCTCACTCTACCACCCAGGCTAGAGTACAGTGGCACCCTCATGATCACCCCAGCATCAATCTGCTGGGCTCCTGATCCTTCCACTTCAGCCTTTCAAGTAGCCGGAACTACAAGCATGAGCTACCATACCCGGCTAATTTTTTGATTTATTGTAAAGACGAGGTCTTGCCAAATTGCCCAGCCTGGTCACAAACCTGTGGGCTCAGGCCATCCTCCACCTCGGCCTCCCAAAGTGCTGGGATTACAGGCTTGAGCCATCGTGCCCGGCCAAAGCATGCATTTTCAAATGTTCACTACTCTCCCTTTCAAGGAAAATGCAGCCTCGCTAGAGAGCTAGTCTTGTGGTCCTGAATTGTCATACTGGTCCAAGGCCACTAAGCTCCGGAGTGTGCGTCCCTCCAGCTGTCTGATTGAGGTTCTACTACTTCCTGGGACTCTGCTTGCTTTGCCTCCAGTTTCTACTGAAGATCCAGTATTTATTATATCACATAATAAATAGCTATAAATATCACATAATAATATAGCACAACCATAGCACTTTATATTAAGTACTAGCTACAAGCACAGTGTTATGGGAAGGGGCTCCAGAGAGGGTGCGTTCACGCTGGGACTGGAACAGACAGGTGAAGGTTCAGGAATGAGGAAGTTTTGATTTGTCTCCAATGATGAGCAGGACATGGAGTAGCTGAGAGGCAGGGGATGAACCTGTCAGATGATAGCATAAGCAGAAACATTCATGCAAGAATCAATGTGGCAACTAGACTAGGAGGGAACTTTCCAATTCTATGAGACTAGTGTCATTTTCATATTAAACCAAGCAAAGACATTACAAGAAAAAACCCCCAGAGACCAATATTCCTTATGACTATAGACACAAAAAATCCTCAACAAAATACTAGTAAAGTGAATCCAGCAACATATTAAAAGGATAGTATGGCATGACCTCATGGGATTTATCATAGGAATGCAAGGTTGGTTTAATATACAAAAATCAATTAATGTAATATACCATATTA